TCTGTACGGCCCGTCTCTCGCGCGGCCTCCTCTTTACGGCCCGTCTCTCGCGCGGCCTCCTCTGTACGGCCCGTCTCTCGCGCGGCCTCCTCTTTACGGCCCGACTCTCGCGCGGCCTCCTCTGTACGGCCAGACTCTCGCGCGGCCTCCTCTGTACGGCCCGTCTCTCGCGCGGCCTCCTCTTTACGGCCCGACTCTCGCGCGGCCTCATCTGTACGGCCCGTCTCTCGCGCGGCCTCCTCTTTACGGCCCGACTCTCGCGCGGCCTCCTCTGTACGGCCCGTCTCTCGCGCGGCCTGTTCTGTACGGCCCGTCTCTCGCGCGGCCTCATCTGTACGGCCCGACTGTCGCGCGGCCTCTTCTTTACGGCCCGTCTCTCGCGCGGCCTCCTCTGTACGACCCAACCCAACGGCTGCACTTACACAGCTGCATACAGACCGCCACAGCAGGAGTGAATGAAGCCCCTGACCATGGTGTGGAGGACAAAGGCGACAACCTTGAAGCAGGGGATTAGGGGATGGAGGAGGGGAAAGAAGAGGGGATGGGGGAGTGAGGATGGGGAGAAGGGAGAGAGGAGGGGGAAGGGGGGGAGGCATCTGTCTCAGTCCATCACAGTGGCAAAAGATACGTACTTGGAAAGTATTATTACTATAATAATAATAATAATAATAATAATAATAATAATAATACATGCTCACCTGTAAGGGCAGGTTATCGACGAGAGAGATGACCCCAAAGGTGACCAGCAGCACGTTGGTAAAAATAAATGCTCTGATGGCGTTGGTCAGTTTCTGGATCTTTCTGTCCCTTTTAGGAGGTGCTGGGAGGCTGAAAGGTGGAGTAAAACCACAAATTACACCCCCCACACACAGCCAAACCTCCCCCTTTCCGCACGCCTGGACTCCCCCCCACATGCCCAGACCCCAGATGTGACTCACTGCTTCCCTCCATCAGAATCGCTCAGAGTCGCCTGGCTGTCACATTCCTGCATCCTCCAGTCCATGATGTAGCCGATAAGCGGGCATGTGAGCAGGCAGAGCAGCTGCAGGGTGCCAAACAGGGAGGAGTAGAAGCTCACTGTTGGGGGCAGGGGAGACAGGGGACATGAGGCAGGGGCATCACACCCTGATGGTGCTTGTATGCCAGCACGCGCCATAGCAGCTGCGGGCCCCTCAGCCGGAACAGGGGGCCTGTAAACATGTAAGGTAGAATGCGGGTCGTCACAGCCAAAGCCGGCACAGCAATACCTTAAAGACACCTGCAGTTCAAGGTCACGGCCTAAAATGCAGCCGCTTCCGCCCCTAGAGCAGACAGACACACACGTGCGGACACACGAAAGGACAAACCGGAAATGATCACCGTGCTGTCGCCGACCTGCACATCCAGCCACACAGAACCGCACAGAACAGCCGAAGCACGGCGGAATAGCGCAGCGAAGCGAGGAGGGCGAGGGCCGTTCCCATGGTGACAGAGACCTCACCTTGATTTTCAGCTTCCTGCAACAGGTCCTCCGAGGCTGGAACACAGGAGTCATGAGTCAGGAATAGAGAGCAACGCAACCCGAGACAAGGGCATCACAAGGGGGCAAGTATGACGAGGGGCAGTATGATGAAGGGGAGAGTATGACAGAGGCCAGTATGACTGGGGGGGCAGTATCACAAGAGGGCAGTATGACTGGGGGGTAGTATGATGGGGCAGTATC